GGAAAGAGAGGATAAGATTTGTCAGCGCATTACCATCCACATATCATTGTTCATTCAACATTAATCACAAACTAACTGAACTTAACTTGGTAGACCATACTATTGGCAGATTTGACCTGTGAATAAGATTAATGATCTTCATTTTCAGTTCTATGTTTAAACTCCATGCAGCAAGCTGTCATTATTTGTTTTTGCGATCTCACCGTGCTTTTAAAAAAATTAAGATTTTTTTAATTTTAAATTAATTTTTAATATTTTATTATTATTTTAATATATTGATATTAAAAATAAATTTTTAAAAAATAAAAATAAAATATTATTTTCATATATTTTCAAATAAAAAAATAATTTTAAAAATAAATATTATTATAATATTGAATACAAAAAACAAATACACTACATCAAAGTAGTAGCTCGTTTGCATCAGGATTTGGCCCTAATCATGTTATGGCATGTTAAGTGTTCCGATAATTTCATCGATTAAGAAATAACTAAAAAGATGACTTCTTAATGCTATTAATCAAATCAATTTTTTTTAAAAATAAAAAATAAAAATGCCCAAGCAATTATAGTATTTTAAAAGGATTGAGAAAAATTTAACGCCTACATCATTGTTTTAAATGAATTTAATAATCTCAATTAATTTAATAATATAATTATTAAAAAATAAAACAATAAATAGCAAAAAAAAAATATTTGTTAAATATTATGAAAAGATACCCTTTAAATTTTTTTAAAATGTCTTAACTATCTTACTTGATAACAAAGTAAAAATTAAATAAAAATAGAATAATTTCATAAAAACAAAAAAAAAATCTGAAGCTTAATTAACAACAAAGTAAACATTGAAAGATTAAAAAAATTACTTAAATTAGTATGCTAAATTCACAACTCAATCGTGAAACCCTGATAAGCCCACACATAAAAAAGTGAATAAAACAATAAAGGTAAACTCTCAACCAAACTAAATAATGAAAGATAAAACTTAAAAAAAAATCTTGAGTCGATACATTTTAATGTTGAAGGATGAATTAAAATAACCTTAAAAAAAGATTAAAAAAATTACTTTGAGTTAGCATATCAAATTTACAGTCTAGTTGTTAGACTGGGCTAAACCCACAAAGAAGAAATTGAATAAAACAATGGAGTTCAAGAAAACTCAATAACCAAAGGCAAAACTAGAGTAAACTCATGTTAACTCAACTAACTTACAATCTGAGATATAAGATTGGAATAACCTTATATTAAAAAAATAAAAAAAAATCATAAAGCTTAAGGTTCAATAACTTAATAACCTAATGTCAAATAATAAAATTAAAAAAAAATAAAAATAACCTAAAAAACCAAAGTTAAATGGGTTACAGGAATTACTCCATTGAAGGCAAACAAGAAAAATTATAAAGCAAAATTTGTAATCATCCAAAAAATTTAAAAACAAAAAACAAAACAAATAGCAATCAAAAGAATGAGAAACAAACTGGATTCAAAAATTAAATTAAATAAAATGTTGAGAGATGAAATTAAAAAAAAAATTAAACTCAAAATACCTTAAAATAAAAATAAATAGAAATTTAAAAAATAAAGATCAAAATTGACACAAATATAAAATGACATGAAATCATATTTGATTTTTGAAAGAGATGATGCCAAATTTAAGCCAAAAAGAGAGAAAAGAAAAAGGAAAAGAAAAAAATATATATCATCAAAGCCTAACCTCTTCCCCTTCGTTCACACACAGGTGACCACTAGAAAAAGAATGATGCAACCCTTCCAAAATGTTTGGTGGCATTTGACGACCAAGTGGCATCGCATATGCTGTCCAAAGAGCACAACACCTCTCACTCACTACTGCGTGCTATGCACGTTCCAACTACTTTTAGATTTTTAATTATATTTGTATTTATTAAAAAAACTAAATCAACCTTTATTTGGATTGATTATAGCAAAAAAAAAAAACCACAAACAAACGATGAAAATGCCCCTTGATGTTAGTTTTAACTTTTTTGCTTTTAAGGACAATTCAGTAATTTCAATATGTAATCAAAATGTCAAAAGACTAAAATGTCCATGCCTGATAATTTGATTTTTTTTCCCTGATAATTTGATTTTTTTCCTACTTTTAAATGTAATTAAATCATTCTATTATGCTACAACAGCAAGAAAACTAATTTACCTATCCAATTTGATTATGTTAATTGAATACCGTGAAAAGACTATTTTAACTCCATACATCACACTTCATTAGCTTTTTTTTAAGGTAATAACACCATTATACCATAGCAACATACAAAAACTTAGGTAATTCTAAAAGGTAATAACACCATTATACAGCAACATACAAAAACTTAGGTAATTCTAAATATCATTCTTTTTCTATTTTCGAGGAGTTAATGCCCCAATAGATAATTCAATATGTTATTCCACTAAAAAAAAATTATTTTGTCCTTTTAACAAGTGGCTCTATCAATTTTACGTGGGTTATATATTGTCTGTCTCTCAAGCATGCATTCGATAAATGTAAACATGAGATACATGGTATGTTAAAAAGAGATAATGTAATATTAAAAAAATAAAAAAAATGAATAGGATGAAGGTTGAGATTATAGTAATGTAATACAAAAAAAAAAACTACTATTATGTCAAATTTGTTAAAAAAATAATAAAGATAAATATTATTGATTATTTCATAATCAATTAAAAAAAGATCAAGTATTTGAACAACTTTAAGCAATTAAAAAATTATTTCAATCAACTAATCAAAGAAAATAATCAAGCATATTTTCTATAATTTATTTTATTATATTTGTTTACAAATCTTGTTATTTAACTATATAAACTCTACATGAGTTAATATAATACAAATCAAATTATCGAATAATAACTTCCTCTACTATTCTAATTTTCTTCTTATATACCCTTAATATTTTTATAATGCCTCCATCATCTATAGTAATAAAATTTTACAATATTAAAGAAGTTTAGGATTTAAAAAAAAAATTGTAATATCTTTAAAACTTTAGATGGTTGATGTAATTTAAAAACTCATAATTATAACCATTGTATAAGATTTGATATATCTACAACTATAGCAATCAATTATTGATTATCTATTTAATGAACCATTAACCATATGTTTATTTACAAAAAATTACTTGAATAAAACACTAAATTACAACAACTCCTCTTAAATATCTTAAAATTATATAAATTATTCAAAAAACTAAAGAATTTGATGGGTGTGCACCACCATTAATAGCGTCAATACATTTGACGTCTATCTAGTGCCTGATGAACTAGGCTAGATTGCCACTAGTGACAAAGACAACAATCATGGCTATTACCTCCCCTCCACTATAATAGTGCCAACGTGTTTGGTGTTGCTGTTGTCCAAAGAGAGTTGCATTATGCTAGAGGATTCGACCCCGTCACCCAATGTTAGGCTGCTGCCTCAAGCTGGAGGTGGCATACTACGAGGGTAGCCCTTTAAGCTATGCAAAACCCATGAAAGCAATGCTACCACTGTTAAGGTGGCTGCTAACACAAAGGCAATCCCTCATAATGTAGCAAACCCAGCGGCAACAAAGACTTCCTTTGTTTAGATTGTCACCAACGATGAGCAGTAGATCCATTTAAATTGTGTTTTCATTGACAAGGGGCTAAAAGAGTTGAGAAGTGCCTATTCATTGTATTTTTTAGTGGTTATGCATACAATACATGGTGACTTTTTAATGCATAGATCATGCATGTAGTACATGGGTGACAAAAAGGTTGCACATATATTATATGCACGACCAGTATACAAGCATATAATACAAGCACATTTCAATAATTAGTGCATGGGCTACATTTATGACTTCCCTAACTATGCTAGATTATGAAACATTTTTCCAAGTGTGCTAGTTCGGAAAATACTTTTGTCTATTATGCTAATATGGGGGAAAAAAACTCGTTTATTCATGATTTTTGCTAGAACATTTAGTCCCCCTAAAATTGTTTTATAAAAAATACACCTTAATAAAAAAATCCAAATAATAATAAAAAAATTCAAAACAAAAAATATATTATTTTTGAAACATGAGATAGGTCCTTGAGATGCAACATATTAAAATTTCAAAAGAATAGAAGAATTAATTAAGTTTAAGAACTTAATTAATTTTTAGCAGGTATAATTATCTTAATAAAAGACTTAATTGAAGCAAAAATTAAGTTTGGAAGTCAATTTTGTAAAAATAAAAGGAATTAAATAAGTTTAAGAACTTAATTAAACTTTTAATGGGTTTTTTAGATTCAATGAAGGACTCAACTAAAGAAAAATTAAGTCTAAAGGCTCAATTAGAGTTAATGTGCAATAACTTCAAGAAAAAAAAAGACCTAACTGAAACTTTAAAAAGCTAATTTGGTGCAATCAGGAGCTTAATTGAAAGAAATTTAAAGTTTAAAGTTTAATTAAGGACTTATATCCCAAACTTCAAAATCAAGAACAAAAGTGCAAAAGGCGAGGAAACCCTAGGACTAAAATTGATCAAACCAAGTCAATTTAAGAAAAAATAAAAGTTTGATGACAAAAAGAGATCAGATTGCATAATTTAAAAACCAATGACTAATTTGTAAAGGGCACACAAATCAAATTATCACAATCAATGTTTTAAGGGATGCAATTGCAAAAAGTAAGAAGTTTTCCAAATAATTAAAGATGCATATGCTAAAATTGAAAGAACAGATACTAGAGTAAAATTTACTAAAAAGTCCTATTTAAAAACCCTAGTTTTAGGGTTTATAAAAACGATGTATTACTTAGACTTTAATCAAGAGAATAAAAGACACATTTTTTAGTCATTGTTTCTTCTTCTTCTTCTTCTTTTCGACCAAAAGGCTAACCGAGAGGACAATTTAAGTTGAATAAATGTGACTTCTCTAACCACTTTAAGGGCTTTAATTGGCACCAATATATT